TGTGTGTGTGAGAGAGAGATAGGGAGTTGCCAGAATGCAAACTATGGGAATCCCTGGTTTGCATATATTTAAATATTTTGCAGTTCGTAGTGCTTCTACAGTAGACTGTCTCCAGTGTTGCCAGAGATTCACTCTTACAATTTCTAGAAACTTCCAAGGGCAATATATTTGTATGAGGAAATGAATCATCAAAGACGACATGCTTTACGGTGCTCCCTCAACTGGCAGATTAGAGGTGGAGCCAGACACATGAAGGGAAAAACACCCAGCATGGGGTTGATTCACAACCTTTCCAACATCCCCGCTGTAATAATAATAATCATTATCATTTGAAGTACCCTTTTCCCTATTGTTACCCTGTCCGAAATACGTATTCCTGTGTGCTAACCTTGACATCAAACACATGCTAATAACAATTCCAGATCGTAATGAACCCATTGCATAAGGAGAGTTTCCCCGATTTCTTTTCAAGCAGAGCTGGAAATAAATAAATGGTCGACCCCTCCCTTCGTCCAGACAGGAAGTTCTGTTCGCAGGACAGGAAGACAGGAGGCTTCTCTCTCGGGACTCCTGCTCCAAACACTATTGTTGTGGTGAGCAGCCTGGCACTACAGGCCAGAGACAGACACTGAGAAAACAAACAGTGCCTCTCAGTTACGAGGTGCACTGATCGTGGGTCACGTATGCACCACTCCAGCCCCGGAACCACTGACAATCGGACTTCAGAGCTTCTCCACTGATTACTGTCCTCTGATTACTGTGCTCATCATCCCCCAGATTACACTGTCTGACTGCAGCCACACAGTTGCTATGACAACAAGAAGAAGCTGAAAAAAAAAATAAACCTACCCTAAAGGTGTGTTCAGGCTGAACTAGAAACTATTACTGATAAATCAATGGAGAAAAATGAATTAACAACTAGAGGAATATTTAAGTAATTTACCAAATTATAATGCCAAAGATTTATAGAGTCCATGTTCTACATGGTGGGGGTTTGAGCATTTACTCCAACTCTTAAGGATCAACGAACTTGCGATGGACCAGTGTGTGGGATTTAGTGGCATCTACTGGTGTAGTTGTAGTCCCTCGCTTCACCTTCGCCTTCTAAGTGTGAAGGAAAACCTACAGCGACAGATAAACACTCCTAAATTCACCTTACATTCAGTCTGATTTTACACACCACTATTCAGAAGTCTCAAACTGAACTTTTTGTTATAAAACTATACAGAATGCCAAAGAAAATGATCGATAATCAGGTCTACGTTTCCTTTTGTAGTGTGTGTACCCGAGGGGGGCTTTGTGGCTTAGAGGTTAACACGTGTACGTTATTACGTGTCTACTGTCTGTAATAAAAGCTTAAAATACCCCAAAATACTTTCAGTGCGTACCTGAGAGTTAATCTCCTCATCATCCCCATCCATGGCCTCGTCCAACATGTCGTCATCATCATCATCACTACTTTCTTCATCCAGCTCTCCATCCTCCACCCCCTCGTCTTCGTCAACAATCCACGTGGCCTGGTAGTCTGATGTTCCTTTAGGGACCTTCATCACACGTTTGCTCTTTCTGGCCTCTAAACAGCAGGGAAACATCAAAGAAGCATTTAGAGTCTTATTGTGGAAGGTTTAACTGTAGTAAACAGGTATGAAGAAAAACTAAGCATATTTTAATCAAGAGTGGCATTTTAATACAAAAGTAATTTGCAAAACATGATTTTAAGTTGTGTCAGGTACCTAAAGATAATCGCTAAATATTGCTATGTACAGTTCCACTTGACTTTGAGCTAAATGATGGTGGCATTATAGCTACGTACCAGCTGTTTATCTATCAAACACAATTTTCAAAACTGTGTCAGATTCTATTCAAATGTTTAATCTAATCAAATCAGGCATGAGGCCTCAACCCCTACACTGAACAATAGGACACCCTCCGGTCGGCTGGTTGGACAATCGCTAGTATTACTTTTCATTCAAACGCTTCTTAATAATACCTGATGAATTTTATTTTATTTATTTTTACTAATACTTTTATTGCAATAACTTCATACTTCCACAAAGTTTTCAGTATATTTACATGTTTTTGTAATTATTTTTGTAATCTAAACACCCGGTGCTACAGACAAAGAGAAAGAAAACTATTATATAGCTACAAATTGATCTTACACTTATATACCCATACGCACCTATATAGTCACAAGTATTTATATGCACAAGCCTACATTTACACGTCCATGCTGGTATGCCATAAAACAGACAAATAAGCACAAGCAAAAAAAGCTATATTGTTGGAACCATTGATTGATAAATAGAATATTCAAATAATATATATATATATATGTGCTTGCAGTATGAACGTTACGCATTTGTTAGTTTAAATTGATAAATGGAGGCTTAACGTTTTAACACAGTTTCCACAATGGCTAAACGTTACAGGTTTTTCAGAGTTGTTAAAGTTGTAAACAAGGCTGTTTTTGACTTGTAAACCATACAATATGTTGTATTATATATAGTAGATATAATATAAGGTATATTGTATATTATT